CCTGCGCACATGCTATTTTTATAATACTCGTAGACAATGAGTAACATTTTTTGCTCTATTAACAATATATTCTATTTCAACATTTTACTGTAATCTCTTGCAGAAAAGTCCGTAGTAAATAAACGCTAACGAAATATTCTATAAAAGGTCTTCTCTTTACATAAAATGTCGTGGCATCTGTTTGATATTAAAAAATCACGATAATTTGATTTCATAATACAAAATTCGATTAAACACCTTTTAAATAAACCTAATAGTTCATTAAGTTGCTAATAAACAAAGTCCGGTCCCTGTCACAGAGTTCGGGTCGCCGCGTGTCGCCGCCCAGTTCCCCCACTCCGTTAACCCTTCTTTAGAAATGGGCAACATTTGCGCAGGTTTAAAACCGGTGTATGTTATATCTCTGGTCTCTTTTATCTAAGGGTGTGTCGGATCTCTCTCTTGCGCCGTATAGTAATCAAAGTATGTGATCTGGTTATAACAAAAATATATCTCTAATTTCACTTCGTTTTTGTTTTCTTCTTCCATTTTGAAGTTAAGAAGGTGGAGCACAAATTACGTCATTAAAATGCTTGCCAATTTAAATACCCTCAATTGTATTTTACCCAGGACTTCCTTCGGTAATAGAAGTTGTAAAAACAGAAAACTCCTACCCATACAGCACACATTATTTTAGAAGAATTTTAGAAATATTTCAAGTACAAGTTTCTGAAATATTTCAAGAAATCTTGGGAGCAAAATTAAAACTGACACGTGTTAAGTGATGCAAGAAAATACTTGAAAATTTGAAGCTTGTTGTTCAAATTCTGTTTAGAAATTAACAACGTTTTTACATAAAAATAATATCTGTATCATCACACCTGGTTGTAACTTTATGTGGAAGATTCATTGACAAATTATTAATAAAGCGTTTAGATATGGTTTACAAAATTTTCTTACAACTGAAAAACTAATTGTTGTAATATTTGGGGAGATTTTTAAATTCAAATTTCAAGATAATTAGAATTATCCAATTTTTGCATAATGATTACGTCAAATGAAAAAAATATTCTTATCTTTATATTTTGAATATGAGTCTAATCATTTTTTTAAGTGTTGACCTAAGGTTTGTATAAATAAGGTATTCGGACAACGTTTGGTTATTATTTCTTTCGAAGTCACATCATCAAAATGAATACTTTACTAATTATTACTGTACTTTCTGCTTTTATTTCTCTTCAGTTTGTTTATAGTAAATCCATCGATACTACCGAACCCGCTTTCGAAGTTAAGGATGGAGATTGTTCCAATGCATCTTTAAGCGATTTAGTATTTGAAGATAATTTACATAAATATGCAATTCCATTTATTAAAAGAAGTGACGAAGTAAGTATCTTTATTATTATTTATTATTATTAGGTGCTTATCAGTCAAAAATTCAACTAAATTTGGTCATAGATTTAGATATCGTATCTCTAATTAAGCCAGAAAGGAGGTTGCAAATGTCGTGTTCATATTAGACAGCGGCAACTTTCAACACCTTGTATCTTTTTCCACCGCAACATTTTATTAAGACATAAAGGTTTGTTCCAACCCAACAGAAAACCGTACATTGTACGGTCATCGTCATACGCAGTAAATAAAGTCCGTTCCATCCGAGAATTGACGATTCATTGTACCGTTCGGTTAGCGTTCCAACCAAACATGGGACCGTTCGGGAATCGGTTTCTGTACAGTCCTTTCGATACCAAACTAAAAGTTAGTATCGCTTGGGTTGACATGCGCACTGCGTACACTGAAACGAGCAAGGCCCGTCTTTTTTGTTTGGATTTGCGACGTTTAATTATTGGTGGTGTTTTTATATTAAATTGTTTTTCAAATGTTCTGCTTAATTATTTTTGTTCTTGGATAGTACCTAATTTAATTATGAGTGATGAAGAAGGTGATGATTTTCTCTCAGACTTATCGTCTAGTAAAGACGATTTAGAACTTGCTATAAATGAATATAGAGTTAAAAATGATAACTAATTAGATAATTCCTAGTTCCCGCCAACTGAAATTGTCAATCAGCATAGTTAGATACATAAGGCGAGTTCGGGCTGCGCACTCCAGATTGGAGTGGAGTAAATAGGCGTAAACGGAGTGCGCATATGGTTTTACTCATTTTACTCCTTTTACTCTAAGAGTTCAATGTCAGTTGTCAATGTTCAATACTAATACTTAAAACCTAATCGTACTTATCAGTAACAACTGTACAAGTTTTTTCCATATTAATGGTATGCACAGGAATCAAATAAAAAGCATTTTTACTTAAGAATTGGTCACAATTATCTTATTATCGATTTAAATCACCTTATGCGCATGCCCGATCCACACTCCACTCCACGATCTTCGAACGGTCAAAGAGGAACTTTTATTTTAACTCCTTCCGTACCCGAACGCCTTAGGTACTTTAGGAGTGAATATAGTGAAAAGAGTGCGTAGACCGAACTCACCTTGAAAGTGGTACATAAATTCGTTCCAACCCGGTAGAGTGTGATCCCATCCACAAGACAGTGCCAGATTAGCGTTTGCGCATAACAAGCTAGTTGAACGATCTCGTGTACTGTTTCGAAACGGTACAAAACTCTTGGTTGGAACAAACCTATTAATTGATCAAATCCTTATATTTTTTGGTCGCTATGCGATAAAACTTCCTGTCAAACCACGTCAAAAGCTGTGTAATCTTGGGTTGCAAGCTGTCAAATTTCAACTTTAACACGTGATTCAGAAACGGGAAACATTTTACTGTAAATGACTACCTATTTATACCGCTAGGCATAATATAATCCTATTATTAATCCTGCTTTTGCATACGTGTAAAACATTAAAAAGATGTTGTACCCACATTGTACCATTCTTAGTATTTTTTTCCTTTTTATAATTATTAATTGTAATGAATTAGTATTATTTTGTGACATATTCAAGTATCCATACTTAAAATTAGTAAAGTTTATATTAAATTATTGTTTTTAAGTGTTTACCTATTATTTAAAATATTTTATTTTAGTCTCATTATGAAGGAGATAAGGATATTTACTGCGTCGTAGCCGTAAGTAAACAGGAAGAATCTGAAGGGTCTACAATTGAAATTACAGAAGGAGGATACAACAGCACTTCCGTAACCTTAAAAGCACAATCTAAAAGGAGCCATGGTTTCGAATATAATATTCAAGTTTTCGCAAATTAATGATTTATTTAATTTACTAATTTTGTAAAAATTAAATAAAATTTGATGAAAATAGTTGTTAGTGTTTTTTTTTGTTTCTATAATAATGCATACTGTGTAAATCTTTAGGTACAACCATAACTATTATTATGTTAGAAGTTAAAAGAATTAACTTCAAAAGTATTGTTTTAAAATGATTTATCACCCTGTATAGCCACTTCATAAAACACGTGTTAACATGATTTTATAACGTTTTATTAAATATCTCGTAAACAATGTTTGAAATGTAATTAATTAAGGAACAAAATAAAGAATGTCTTTAACGGCACATTGCCTATCACTTCCTAGCGTTCGGCTGGTCGAAATTCAAGTCCACAGAACACTTCTGGTCCTGGACACTGCAACGGGCAAACGTGGTACCGTCGACCCCAGTGACTCTAACAATTAAAACAATTAATTAGGCCTACTTATGACAACTTTAATGTATTCCAAGAGATCTAAGTTAAAATGTAATGTATTTATAACAACATGAAACTTTCAGTAAAAGCACAGTGCACATAGTAGATGAAAAACAGAAAGTAAACATAGGACTACAGCAGAGACATTTTCACTATTTTAAATGTAATGCTTTTCCATAAATTTCTGTTGAAGATCTTTCAACATAATACACTTAAATTAGAACCCAGAACAAAAAAATATTTGAATTTAAACATAAAAAAGCCAACACTGCCACGTATAAATTTTAAAAGCCAACTCTGGCGTCTATTGAATTTCTCGAAGACATTATGTAGAGAGCGCGAATATCATCAGTGAAACAGCCAGTGTTGCCAACTGTCGAAGAATTCTTTGCTTTCCGGAGAATTTGAGAAGGTTCGGAGAATTTTGCGGAGAATTTTCCGGCTTGGCGTTGACAGTTGACTTGTGACTGGTGAGTTTTTGTCAGTGGAGAATCTCGTGCACATACTTTGATTTTCTTTTACTATACGGAGAATGGTCGCACTGCGCAGCTTTCTGAGTGCCTTTTAAAAGGAGAAAGAAAACTCCGCCATTTTGAACCCTTATTACGTGTTGCCTATATCTTGGCGAAATATTTTTAATTTTGAAGTCACAGTTTATTGCTAAAGAATCAGTTGGCTCACTCGGGCCAGTTGAAAGTTCCAAAATAACATCCACTCCAGGGATACAAATTCAGGATACGCAGAAGACTGCTGTTTTATTATAGGCGGTTGTCATATATTGTATTATCCGAGTTGCACAGTGTATAAACTGAAACATTGAGATCCAAAGTGCCGACGCAGAGTGAGAGATCTGATTCTTTAGCTGTAAACTGTGTCACAGGGTTCAAAATGGCTGCGCCCTATGTTGGGCGTGTCGGACCTCTCTCTTGCCTCGTATAGTAGTCAAAGTATGTGATTTTTGACACTTTTCGCGTTAAACAGTGGTGCAGAACAGTGTTTTGTCATGGGTTAAAACTATTTTTTGGTCCTGCACCAATCTTCAAAAGTATGCCCCACTTTCTGCGCATGCGCATTAGTATCTAGCTAATTTAATATAAGAACTAGATTTCCATAGGTTTTTTGCTCCATGCGGAATGGGGAACGAATTATAAACGCATCTCTTTTACCGTTTACTTATTACATCAATTAGGCGCCATGTTTTAACTTTGATACAAACAATAAAATACATACTGGCATGACTGTAGTTAATTTTTTGAAGTAAATCTGATTTACTAATATTGTAAATATGTTTAGTGGTATGGAATTACACTATTAAATGAAGTTAAATATTGCCATTCTTTATTTTACCTCAAAAGAAAGAAACCTACCACTCTCCCTTTCAACAGTTTACTACAGTCGAGGAATTATGTTAAAAATGTTAATCACCTGTAGAACAAATAAATAAAACTGGTGGAGGCATAAACCGACAGCTCAAATCTATAATTATAGTTATTTTATTGTGAAATTAACAACATTTTTACAAAAAAAATACCTGGAAGATTCATTATCAAATTATTGATAAAGTGTATAGATATGATGGTTTCCAAAATTTTCTGACAACTCAAAAGCTAATTGTTGTAATGTTTGGAGAGACATTCTTTAACATTTTTATAGATTTATTCATTTTTTTAATTTTGGTTAATTATGAAAAAATAATCTAATCTTTATATTTTGAGATTAAGCCTAATTATTTTTTTTAAGTGTTAACCTAAGGTTCGTATAAATAAAGTATGTGGACAAAGTTTGGTTATTATATAACTTTCAGTCACATCATCAAAATGAACACATTACTAAATATTGCGGTACTTTCTGCTTTTATTTCTCTTCAGTTTGTTTATAGTAAATCCATCGCTAATACCGGACCTTCTTTCGAAATTAAGGATGGGAATTGTTCCAATGCAGGTTTGGACGATTTAGTATTTAAAGATCATTTACATAAATATCCAATTCCATTTATTAAAAGAGATGACAAAGTAAGTATCTTTATTATATTGTTTCTTGATTAATTGTATATCGAATTGGGTTCTTACACAATTCAAAAGTAGATACGGATTGCAAATGTCGTGTTCATATTGGACTTTAAGGCAACTTTAACACCCTGTATCTTTTTCCACAGAAACGTTTAATCATCAAATCCTCATATTTTTTGCTGGCTATCAGATGATAAAACTTCCTGTCAAATATTTTAATATAAATGAATATATTATATACCTATTTATATCACTAGGTATAATATAATAATTGAGAAATCTTTTGCATATGTGTAAAACATTAAAAAGATATGGTATTCACAATCCCACGTTGTACTGTTCTCAGTATTTTTCTCCTTTTTACAATTATTACTTATTGGTTATAATGGATTAATGAATTTTGAATTAGGATTATTTTGTGACATATTCAAGTATCTATTTAAACGTAAAATAAGTAAAATTTATAATAAAATATTGTTTTTAAGTGTTTACCTATTATTTAAAATATTTTATTTTAGTCTCATTATGCAGGAGATAAGAAAATTTACTGCGTTGTAGCCCTAAGTCAGCAGGAAGAATCTGAAGGATCCACAGTTGAGATTACAGAAGGAGGAGCCAATCACACTTTTGTAACCTTGAAATTACAATCTAAAAAGAGCCACGGTTTCGAATATAACATTCAAGTTTTCGCAAAATAACGATTTAATCAATTTACTAATTTTGTAAAAGTTAAATGGTTTTATTTTTTAAATAAAATTTGATGAAGATAATTATTAGTGTTTTTTTTTTCTATACTAACTATAACTTAGTAAACCATTTTGTTGCATGTTCCCTCCTGCTACATACCTAACTAAAAAGGATAAAATATACTTAGATTGTCTTGCATGGGTGTCGTTACACAATTCTATAGAGAGGGGTAAAATTTTGAAAAAAAAAATTGTTTATTTGTTACTAAACAAAGGAAATGAAAAGTAAAAGAGCAATACAAAATAACAAACGTCTCTCTAATAAAGAAAATAACTCAACAAAAAAGACAGAAACTAAAATAAAAAATCAAGAAACTTAAAACTCATATTTTTAAAAAATGTAACAAAAAGACACAGCCATACATAATAATAATAATTATAATAAAAAAAATATTTATAAAAACAGAAAAACTCACTCAAACACGTCGACGAACCCAAACAAAACCTTTAAGAAAACGCAAAATTGAAATTTCTTGTTTCTCTACCAAAAATATCGATAACAGAAGACATAATTTCTTTTTTGTTTCCTGCACACTCATCATGAATATCCCAGTCACAGTTTATAGCTAAAGAATCAGTTCGCTCACTCTGCGTCGGCACTTTTGATCTCAATGTTCCAGTTTATACACTGCGCAAATCTGATTTGTATCCCTGGCGCATACAGAATCAATTCAATACCAATATTCAAACAGCATACTTCTGCGCATCCTGAATTTGTATCCCTGGAGTGGATTTTATTTTGGAACATTCAACTGGTCCGAGTGAGCTAACTGATTCTTTAGCAATAAACTGTGACCCAGTCGCCTATTTTCATTTATTCTAGACCTTAGCCATGTTCAGCTACATCATGAGCTCATTGTGTGCAGAAAGCTCTTTCCAGTTAATTATCTACGTTTGGTATTCACCTTCAAAATTGTCGATTCCAAATGTGTCCACCATTTTCATTTTCTGATCGGTAGTGAAAAAAGTATTATTCTTTTTTAAGATGCAAAATTCTTAAAGAACCTATAGTACCTATTACCTAACAAAATATTGGTTATAAATACCTTACACGTTGTTGATTAAGTCGTGAAAACCAGGAAGGGGCAACTGCCCTCCCTTGCCCACCCCAAACGACGCCCATGCTGTCTTGTATGCACTCTTATGTTTCATTTTTGGAACCGAACACCTAAAATTCAAACTGAGCACCGTAGTTTGTAACGGTTGGAACCGTTATTTCGACACAACCACCTCTTACTCAAATGTTTCTTGTTTCCTGTACCTTGTGAATTGTTTTTTTGAGATGGTCCTGGCAAATTTTAAACATTTGTAAGACTGTGGCCCGTAGCCAGACCTTGAGGTCCGTTTTTTGAACAATTAGGACAATTCACTACTGTTTTATTTTTGTAGCCGCAGCGATAACAAAAGATGTTCCGTTTAGAGAGTCATGTTGAATAAGTATGTCCAACTTTACCACAGTTATAACAAGAAACATTTGATAATCTACTTTTATTTAACTGACTATTGTTACTACGGTACTGGTCAGTATTAGTTGAAAAATTATTACTACCAAGAGCAGCAGTATTATTTACATGGAGATGTTTAAAATTTGGAGATAAAGTTTGAGCATCTTCTAGCTTCTTACATAAAATAGATAATTCATCAATAGTATTAGGGTCTTGCAATGCTAACTGAGAAATAAATGTAGGTAAAAGATTTTTTTTTAATAATATTTAATATTCTACATTCATCTGGCAAGATAGTTAATCTTTTAAAAAGTTTTTCCATATAAGAAATGTATAATTTACTTTCAGAATTAAGTTGTTTTCTATTTTGGATCTCTAATTCTAAATTATATTGATAGTCACAGAGTAATAAATGTAATTTTAATGGTTCTACAAGGTGATCCCAGTCAGTGAATTTAGAATAATTATTCATATACCAAAATAGAACATCACCTTTTAAAAGATCACTGCTACGTTGAAACACTTGTTGTTTCGAAAGACCCTTACCTGGAAAGACCTCGATCGCCATCTTGGATCGCTTAGCCGAGTTGCAAACCACTTATACAAGTTTCACTTATCAACACTGACAAGTGACGCCATCGTGGTGATTTTTGGAATTAACGTTTTAGAACTACTTGGATGGTGCTGTTTCACAGCAAATAACGAAATAAAATTTTTCTACATTGCTACTTTGTTAAATCGTATCAAAAATAATAAAAATCCACTCAAATATCATGATAAAAAAGATAAACTTTACGGAAAAAATAGAATACTAAGTAATAGTTAAAACATTTTATTTAGAGACACCATTACATCATTTTTTTCCAAATACTTTAATATCATATTCGAAACCGTTACCTCTTTTAGATATCATTTTCAAAGTAACGTAACGGTGATTGATACCTCCTTCTGTAATCTCAACTGTAGATTTTTTAGATTCGCTTTGCTCGCTTACAGCCAATACACAGTAAATCTTTTCATCGCCTGCCCAATGAGACTAAAACCAAAAAATTTTGATGATAAACCCAAGAAATCAATTTTGTTATACGTAACAATAGTAATGAAAAATTATATACGTAACATATGTTAACTTTTCAAACCTTGCTCCAGAGAAAGGTATAGAAGACCAATGCTATTGACATGGCTGTTAAATAGTCAGAAATAGAGCATACTTGACTTTATTTTGCTCACGACTAAATATAATTAAGCGTCTCATCTTTATTCTGCTGGATGAGTTGAATTAGTTAACATATTGTATTTTATGTTCATAGTAAATGTAATTATTTAGAAGAATGTCCAATAGTCAACTTTACTTTTCAACCGGTCTTATGAAATAAGTTAAGATTTTGAAACTACCAACCTATCGAAGACTAAATATTAAATTAATATTAAATAAATGAGGATAAAAGTAAAAACCAGTGGCAGCTCGTGAGCAAAATATTGGAGCTTTACAATGACAGAATATAGTTCTCAGTAAAAATTTAGGTAAAAAATGTTCATTGTTTTAGACAGGTATATTATAAACACTATCCAAATCTGTCCTAAGATCTATATTATGTCCATCAATATTTAGGTCACAAGACTCCACTGGTAAAAACACTACATCATAGACATATTTTCCATATTAGTTAAATTATTTATCATATTAAACATGGATACTTACAGTGGCATCCCTTTTAGTGAATGGAATTGGTAACTTATGATGATGGTCTTGAAATACTAAATCACCTATGACAGGATTCGTGCAATTACCATCCTTTATTTCAAAGGAGGGTCCTGTATTGGAAATCGATTTTCCGTAAACAAACTGAGTAGAAACAAATACAGCAAATACAGCCAGAAAGATTAACCCTTTCATTTTGAATTAATGAATGTTATTACTCTGGTAATTTGATAAATTGAGGATAACGGTTATATGATCGTCTCCTTTTGTACGAATTTAATAAATAGGCATTACAAGAGGCTTTAAATTTGAGATTAGATTATTTCGAGTAAATAGGAAAATTCTAAAAAATTGATAGTTATCTGAAGTGGGAGATTAGATATTTCACAGAACGCAATAATAATGAAACACTTCAAAAATTATAATACATCAAATGTGTGGAAAATACTTATAATTTTCTCAATAATTTAGATATTTGTTAGAAACACTCCAAGTTTTTTTTATTCTTATAATAATTTGAATACTCTCCATTATAAACCACCCCTTTACGAATAAACCCCTATACTTGTCAAAGAAAGAAGAGCTTTTATCGAGGAAGGACATTTTAACCCCAAAAAGATTGCACGATTTTTGTCAAAAAAAAAATGCCTTTTACCTAAAACTTAGAATTTCAATCATATTCAAGAAAAATGAATTTAAACATTTACCACCAAAGTAAAAAAATCCTTACTTCGACCTACCTCACGCAATATAACTATTTATACTCGATTATTCGCGACAGATTCTGCTATACATGTAGATTCTTCTAGCACTGGAATCAAGTATCGCGGCTCGAAGGACCACAATTTTTTAGAATAATCTACGAGTTTTCAATAATAAAGAACTGATTAGAGAATTAATATTTTTATTTGAGCATACAGTTACACTAACTGGCTTGAATAGCAAAGTTTGAATGCCCTGAAATTCATAAGAAATAACAAAGAAAAAGAAGAGTTTTGATTTGACGTATGGCCAGCATATTTTTAGGAAGTCAAAAATGGATTTAGAAAATAGTTTCTTAAACAATGCATGTCTCGAACTTTCTGGATTAAAAATGTACACGACTATAAACAATAGCGGTCAATATCAGATATTAATGTTACGACTGTGTTACCATTGTATTTGGATATTTAAAAACAATGAAGTTACACAAGAGAGTGTAAAGTAAAACGGTGAAAAAATCATTCGATATTTAGGTACAGTAAATATACGGGAAGATTTTTAATTGAAGACAGATGGAAGTTGTTTAGTTGATTGTGATTGAAAGTTTACTAAATTAAAAGGATGTTTACTCTTTTAATACGATTAAAAGCTCATACACCGTGAGTTCGAGTAGAAACTCAGGTCGCTCTGAGTTCATTTCAGCGTTTTTTTTTAGAGATTCAGAGTGGGATCTGTTGCGTTCGATATGACTCTTAGTATGGACTCCGAGCACTCTTTTAACTCTGCGTTAAAAGATCGAGTCTGTCGGGAAGTTAAATAATGAAATGTCAATTATGCCAATGAACGGCACATATCGTCGTCAATATCACAAAGTGACGCAACTGGAAAAATAGAAAATTGAATGTCACATATTACGTAAAAAAGTATTCTGTACAATTTCACGAAATTGCGTATTTCAAGTCATTACATTTATTAAAATAGCGTGTGTATCTGATAATTTTACGAAGAGACGTAACTTTATAAAAAAAAATTAAAATTGAGTTACGTCACTTCGTGATATTGACGACGATATTATTGTTTTGTGGGTTTGTGCTAGGTAATATTTGTATTTTAAAATTATTAAACTCGAATAGGTTATTATAAGTAAATTCTTAAAGTTTATTTTCTGTTATTCTATTTCCGCGTTTGAGAATCCACATCGGATGCATCTGAGATGTGAATTTTTTATCACGTGATAGAAAATTAGATCTGGGGGGCTGAGAGAATCAGTCAGTGAGTTCACACTGGCCCGAAGAGCCCTAAAAATACGGTTTTACGTTGACGCATGACATTTCTCTTGAGAGAAATGAATTGTCTCGAGTTTGAAAATAACCCCCCTGAATGTAGATGTAATTAAAAAACGCTATAGACTTTATTGGTCACGTGATAAAATGTTACAGACAAGTTAGAAGTTTTATACTTTTTAAATTTGACTTTTGAGACTACAAATCAACCTAAATTTGAAATCTAAACAAAAATTAAACAAACTAAACACTTTTATATTCATGCTAGCATAAACAAAGGATAAACTGACAAACTTGGCTTCACAGAACACTTACTTTCTGGCATGGAACGAACATCTCATTCATATCTTATTCACATCTCATTTGAAATCGAGATGTAAAAAATGTAATTTGAACAGGATACCTATTCTCTAACTCATGGGAGCACTCCCATACTCCCATGCCAACGTTGCCAAGTCAACAGAATAACTTTGATCTACTATTTAAGGACCGATCCACCGTTGTGTTAAACGAAGTTTAAAATGACATTTTTACATTAACAATGTCATTTTAATCTCCGTTTAACTCAACGGTGGAATCGGCCCTTAGTAGTTCAAATTTGCTTTGTGATAAATACGGACCTAATCTGGCAAGCCCGCAATTCTCCCTCCCATAGTATAAAATCTGACCTTACTACGCATGTACCTGGGCTAAAAATGAGTAAGCACAATATACCCACCTAAGAGTAAGAGAGCAAAATATATGGGAGCACTCCCATGGGAGCGCTCCCATGACTTAGTGAATAGCTATCCAGATACATCTGGGATAAACAAACGCAGATGTAGATGTAGTAGATGTGTCCGATGTGCATAAAAAAACGCTCGAGATGTAAAAAATGCATCGGATGTGGATTTTCAAACGCGGCAATTGTAATCACATACTTTGATTACTATACGAGGCAAGAGAGAGGTCCGACACGCCCAACATAGGGCGCGGCCCACATACTTTGATTACTATACGAGGCAAGAGAGAGGTCCGACATGCCCAACATAGGGCGCGGCCATTTTGAACCCTGTGACACAGTTTACAGCTAAAGAATCAGATCGCTCACTCTGCGTCGGTACTTTTGATCTCAATGTTTCAGATTATACACTGTGCAACTCGGATAATACAATATATGACAACTGCCTACAATAAAACAGCAGTCTTCTGCGTATCCTGAATTTGTATCCCTGGAGCCTGGAGTGGATGTTAATTTGGAACTTTCAACTGGTCCGAGTGAGCTAACTGATTCTTTAGCAATAAACTGTGACTTCAAAAATAATATTCACTGACACTGACAGCAGCAAGCAAAATATCAGGTGCGTTTTAATCATCCGCTTCTGCTTCCGGAATTGTCGGTTTAGTCGTTTTAACCTGTCAGATTAAAACAAGAAAACCGACAATTCCGAAGCAGAAGCGGATGATTAAAACGCACCTATTAAAAATATTGCGCCAAAATGTAGGCAACACGTAATAAGGGTTCAAAATGGCGGAGTTTTCTATCTCCTTTTAAAAGGCACTCAGAAAGCTGCGCAGTGCGACCATTCTCCGTATAGTAAAAGAAAATCAAAGTATGTGGTGATAAAAATTAAGGGTCTATTTATACTCCCTTAGTATTAGTATTTGTATTAGTATTATGATTAAGCATTAAATTTGTTAAATCATTCAAAAAAGGTATTTATACTCGTTTTATAATTAGTATTAGTAATTCTGTTTTAAACCTAATACCTAATAAGATATAATTCTGCAGTCAACAAAATATATGGTTACTGAAGAAATGTGTAAGAGGCCGGTTGTGTTCTTTTAAGATATCTGAGTTTTAAATGTGTTTTTATTAATATTTTTACTAGTTAATTAGTTAATATTATTTAAAAATAGGTTTATATAAGGACATTTTAACGGATTTAAGTCTCAAATTTATAACAAATAAAAAGAAGCAGAAATTTGATACAAATCAGACAGAAAAGAGGCCTTTGCTTCCTCGTGGTGACATGTCATTTGTCAACTTTATAATCGGTGAACACCAAAGAAGTAGAGAGGGTAGAACGATAAGGTACCGTCTGCGCATCCATCACGAGTGTAGAAATTATGCGTGATTCGGCCTTCCACTCTTACACACGTAAATGACAAGGAGAGGTTGCCCTAAAGCACTGTAAACAAATTCCAGGATCGACTTTATTCAGCGATTATGTTCATGTTCAGTTCTGTTTTTTGTTTGTGTTTTGGCTGTTGTAAGCTTTTTTGGCGTCAATTCTTTGTTATCTTGCTTATATTTATGATTTTTTATGCTTTTATTCCGATTTAGTATTAAATTATACTTGTTAATTATTTTTCGATGCACTATTTTATAATTGTTGCACAAAATGTTGTAAAACCGTCCCTGAATTTTGTTTACAAAATGTGCAAAACGAAATTGTGCATAGTGTCCAGACTTTTTCATTGACAGTTATCATTCTACCCCTCTCCACTTCATTGGTGAACACTGCTGATACACAAAAATGTACCGAAATATTATCATCGAGCTTGTTGGAACAAACATATAAACAACATAATCATATGTGTATTGTCAATTATCCTTATCCGTTGTCTATTAAAAACAAAGGCCAAATACGCAATTGATTATTTATAGAAAAGAAGAAATTTAATGTTTAATTTAAAAGTTGAACCTGTCAATTATTAAGCATAAATATTAATGCTAATACTATTCATAAATCGAGTATAAATGTCCCCATTACATTGTGAAGGTTCAACTTAATGCTTAATCATAATACTAATGCAAATACTAATAATAAGGGAGTATAAATAGACCCTAACTGACCATTGACTGACATACTGTATTGAGGTTATGATTTTTACTCTGATTGACAGAGCGCGTTCGAGTTGTTACTACATTCTCTCTCTGACTTGACAGGACTCTGCTCATGCGCTGCCCACTCTATAGGGCGTCATATCGAACTTGCCTACAGAAAATACAAAATGTCAAGGAAAAATAACAGAAAATTCAAAGAATCTAAAACTGATGTTCATTTTAGGACGAAACGGTCGTTGGAAGTTAAATGTCCTAGAGGTGACAATAATGCTGAAGTGTAAATAACAGAAGTTTTCAGCAGAAATGTCCAGTGTTGTAAAATGTATTCTTGTTGTAAAATCAAAAACACGAAACTATGACAGCAAGCCTACTTAAACTTGCCCTACTTGTGGTTTCATAAAGTTGAGGAAAAATTTAGGAACTCTACATAAACTCTTCATTATTTATTTACGTTCAGCGATATA